ATTTTTTCGAGAAACAACACATATATCAAGAAACTGTGCTTTGCAAAATAAACTAAATGTAAAGAATTAAAGCAATTTAACTAAGAAAACCTCGAGTTATTTTTCTTCAAACAAAGAATACTTCGAAATTTACGAAGAAAATATATATGTATATTTTTCTGTGATAAATAATAGACTTATTGTTCAATACAAAAAATAGTACGAAAATTTCGTACTCGACGATGTAGTATTAGTTTGTTCGCATGCGAAGTATTTTCAGAAATAAGTCATTTAACTGTTTAAAGTACAAATGATGGCGATTGGCGGGACGCGTGACCATACGAAGTCGAGCAAACCGTTAAAATCATATGGCTCTGCCAGCTATCAACGCGCCATGTGACAATTTTTTTCACAGAAACTTCCATCGAAATCGCTTCTATTCTTTATAAAACGTGGAAAAACGAACGGATTACCGCTTAAAGCTATAAATTACAGATACCTGTGTGGGTACGTAAATGTGCTTGGAGACTCTTCTCTCGTGGGAATACGCGGCTGCAATAAGTACATTTTATACTGCTCGGCGAGGTGCTTCCTTGCATCATAAGATTGGAAAGAGCATCGGCTCTTGGTCGACCACGGCGATGACTCTCCGAGCCCCCTGAACGTGATCTAGTCCCAGTTCGCGTGGTTAGCACGCTATGCTCCCTATATTCCGGCGACGAGCACGAGCTGCCCGGGCTAAGGTTTACGTTTCTTGCTTCGTCGCCCCAGTTCCACGGGTAAAGCATACTATCACACATTGGTGGACTGCACGGCAACGCTTCCGTCAAAGAACGCATCTCACGCTTCGGCGTGTGCAATTCCATTTTACGTTTTTTACCTCACTTTGCGCCTCACCCGCCACTTTAAAGACTTCGTGTTAATACAACCACCTACTCTCTTTCTCTCTTTTTTTCTGCCACTTTGCGTATACCGCGTGCAACTAGTGAACCGCCAAAACGTGATACATACCCGGTTCGAGCTGTATATGTGTATATATGTAAATGTGTATGGAGTGGGATTATAGTAATAGAGTTAACCTCGAATTTCCCAAATTTCGGGAATAATAGATTATAAGATTTCTTTCACTAAAGAGACGATGAAAGGTAAGAAAGTGGAAACGCAATTTCCTTTCTCTTGTATTGTTGGCATCGTTCCTGACTGTTTTCTACATGCGGCTTTATTCTGGTGCGCGCGCATTCTCTTCTGCGCAACACACCGACCAATCAGAAGTGCGCCAAAAGAAGACACGCGTAATACAAAATTAATTTATTGTTGTTACCTGCTTAATGGATTTATTAATCGTAATTATTGATAATTGTCTTTTGTGAATAGTTTTTAATTATTATATCAAATAAATATATTTAAGCGCCAAATATTTATGAAAATGAATTTTTAAATATTTTCATGAGAAGAAAGATGTGTAACATGTATTTTACAAAATATTTTACGTTGTTTTTTTTTTAATAAACGAGAGGAAAATCAATATATAAAGAAAATTATTGTAATTGAATGTTTGTATGTTTGAAACATGTCATTATAAAACAAAAGATTGTATTGTACATATGAAATGGGGATATAAATAATGTAAAATGAGAATATGATATTAAATATGATTACATAAAAATATCCATCTTTTTATTCATAAAGTTATTGTGCATTAATATTGTATTTTATTGTTAAGGACATTTAGATTTTAAAACTGTAATGATTCTGATTTTTATTCTACATGGAAATGCGGCATAAGGATTTTATAAATGATTCAAGCTTTATAGTATGCACAAGTGCTACAGAAATATAAGCTGAAGAAAAGAACATTTTATATGTTGTCAAAGAACATACTTGCATCACTTTATACCTTTTATGTGGAAAAATAATAAAAAGTTTTTTTATTAATTTATATATTTGTTAAAAATTTTTTTATATTCTTTTACTTAAAAATACTTTCCAAAATTTATTGCATTTAGTTAAGCAATATTACCTGAATTAAAGTTGAAATTTTGTTGCCAATTATATTCATGTCCTATATTTCTTAATAAAAAGAGAAGATAAAATATAAGTAATAATGACTTTATTTTATAACTATGTATGTGTATTTGATATATGTAACAAATTGAAAATAAATGTATTCCTTCAAACGTATAAATTCGATACATTCATTTTTATATCGTACAATAAACTGATACATTATTTGTTAACTAGGTATGTAAATAACAAAATCGAATGCAATAATGTAAAAATTCTAAGAATGAAATGTAAAAGTAAGTCAGAAAAAATAATTTTTAAGAAAAACTTAAATATATTATTGCATAATATGCTGTCATAAGAGATTTTCAATCAAGCATTATAATCAGGTGCAGCTGATTTACATACATTTTTATTCAAACGCTATGAAACACGATATAGAGCCAAAAATAGCGGATTGGTGCATAAATATTATTGTACAGCAATAAGATAAAGCGTAAAAGATAAGAAAATCTATTCGGTTCGTGTTAAGTAATTCATGGAAATAATGCCGGTTTCTTTGAGAACGACAGTGCGGAGAATTATTCCGCAATATCGATAAATATTAGTTATTTTAACAATGCGACACGATTAAAATTAAAAACTCGATTTTAGATGATGATTTATGGTTTGAAACAACATAAAATTGACAATATAAATAATATTGGTGGGGAGGTAGCGCGCTGGGTGCAAGACAATTATGCGGTCCCTCCCTGAGCACAGACCTCGTGGTGAGCTATTCTCCGACTCAGCCATATTGAAATATTGAATGTCTCTGTTACACAAGGGCTCAAGAGTAGCCGTGAAATTTTCGCGTGATCCTCGACGAAGAGAGGATAAGGACAAGCATGGAAAGCATGTACAGTATTGCCGTAACGAACAAATTCTCGTTAGCGTTGGGTGATGATGAGGATCCGCACGAGAAACTCCGAGAGGAAGAGCTTAAGAAAGAAGCTAGGAAAAAAGAAAAACTCTCGGAGAAAGAAAATAAGAGCAAGCAGTCGGACGCACAGAAAGGGACCGGTAATAAAACGCAAAAGAATCGCGTGATCAAAGATTCTCAGCAGCAACCGGCCAAAGTGCAAGATTCAAAGAAGGATCAAGGTTAGTCATTTTTCATTTTTCATATCTTACCTCGTGCGCGGTATTATGGCCGTCGCTCCTCAGCCCTCGTGGGTCCATGTGCTTTTGATATTTCGTCTAACACTAAACGATTTTCTCACCTCTTCGTCAATCATTTTTTCGCGTTCATTCTTTCGGTTATTCTTGCCCTCTAAACTCCGATGATTTGTGTAAATTTTATTATACTAATGTTCATATTTCTTGTAATTTTTTTGAGAATTTTTTATGCCGCATTGTGTTCCCATATCATAAAAATAGAATTTACCAATGGTGACCCCACGTGTTATTTAACAAATAACTGCGACGAGCTGTTGCGATTTATTTTGAAATTTTTACAAAACCATTAAGTATAAATGTACACTGCGTGGGACATTGGTGTAATTTAATAAAAAAATAATTAATGCATGGATAGACGATTAAGGATTGTATCATATTTTGTTATTTGATGATTTATATAAGGCTCTTATTATTTTTGCTGCAAATAATCAATATACTATGTTAAAATTATATCAACATGTATATGTATATGCTTTTCTCCTTCAAATGTATAATCTGTTCAGAAACCACATTGATCAACTCCATAAGTAAAAAAACTAATGATATAACTATTTTTCAAATATATTTTTTTAATTACTTTGCAAGTTATCATCACATATATCATTTTTATAATAAATAATTTATAGAAATAATTTGTTCATTGTAAGACACAGGATTAAGTATTAATCTTACATTTAGATAGTAAATTTAAGAAATAGATGAAAATTGGAGCTCATCCGTTAACTGCTAAAAAAAACTTCTAAATCTTAAAAAAAACTTATTTTTTTAATATAAATGTAAATCATTATTAATTATAAATTTTTAATAAATTTATTTTACTATTTTATTTTATTTGTTGACATTATGATCTTCATTCATACAGCAACAGATAAAAAACCACCACAATCAAGAACCAGTGGTGGAGATCGTAATGTTAAATTCTCTGGAGAAACTAGAGAAGAGCGCAATAACAGGCGTAATCGTGAAGATGGTGAAAGAATGCCTCGTAATCAGGGAGAAGTTAGGCGAGGACTTCCTGGGTTAGTATAAAACAATTAATGAACAAAAAAGCATTGATAATGTCTCTAACTTCTCTTTTGTAATTATCTTTTTAATTTTTCAGCGAAGGACGTGAAACTCGAGAGTTTAGGAATTCTAATGATAATCGTGGAGAATACGGAGAGCGCAGAGGTCGTGGTGGAATGCGTGGAATGGTGCGTGGACGTGGAGGTCCACGTGGTCGTGGTGGATACGATTATCGTGGAAAACGTGAATTCGATCGTCAATCTGGCTCTGATAAAACGTAATTTTCATTTATTATCGTTGAAGTCTAATAAGTTTTTAGTATTAATAAACGCATTGTTTGTATGTTTAAGCAGGGGAGTTAAACCAGTGGATAAAAAAGATGGTGCTGGTAGCCATAATTGGGGTACACACAATGATGAAATTGAGTAAATATCGTTTCCAACAGAATTGTTTGAAATTCAGAAAAAAATTATTTTCTAATTCTTTATTCTTCTTTTATTTTCAGAGAAAGTTTAAACCAAGATAATCAAGATTGGGCTAACGATAAACCTGATGGAGATGCCAACCAAACAACCACAGAGACAAAGGATGGAGAGACACCTGCTGACGTAGTAGAAGAAAAACCAGTCGAAGAAGAATCACGCGAATTAACCTTAGATGAATGGAAAGCTTTACGTAATAATAGAGTGAAGCCTCAATATAATTTGCGTAAAGCTGGAGAAGGCGAGGATTTGACACGCTGGAAAAAGATGTACGCACTGGAAAGGAAGAAGGAGGGAGCCGACGAAGAGGAAGAAGAGGAAGAAGAATATGACGCAGCAGCTGAGTATCCTCAGCGTGTTGGAAGACAGAAACGCGTTTTAGGTATTGAAATTCAATTCAGTGATTCTCGACGTGGTTCTGGTGGACGTGGTCGGGGACGAGGTCGTGGAGAACGAGTGAATAATCGTGGATTTGGTAATCGTGGAGCTCCTAGAGATGGAGACTCACGTGGTCCTGTAAGTATTTGAATTTATTCATTTTCAATTGAATAGATGTACAATGAACATTAATTGATGTAATTCTAGATTTCACAATCTGAGCAAAGGTCACCACGAGGACGTCAAAATGCACCGAAAGTAGATGATGAGAATGATTTTCCTTCATTAGGATAGGTGGTTTCGCTTGTCATCTACAATACAGTATCCCACCATTTCTGCTAACATTGAAATTATTACCACAGATAAAATTACTACTAATACTAAAACTATTACTATCAACATTTTTGCGTCAGTGACAACGTTATTAATGCATAATACAGTACACCCTTGCAAAATGAGATATGTAATTTACAGACTCAAGTTTTATGATTATTATATATATATCCATGAATATTTAGTCTCGTTCTTAATGTCGTACATCCGTGAATTAGCATGAAAACAAGCTGAATTATTACAAGTACTGAAAAGGATCATGATTTACATTGTTTTTTATCGTGCCATGTTGAACATGCCAATATATAGATATATAATTTATATGCTAATATGTTGATAGTGCTACTATTCATTTGGATAAATTATATATCGATATATTGTTTTGTCTAATTTCTCATAATAAAAGACAATGTAGATCATGATATTTTTTTGTATTTATAATAACAGTTTGTCCGATTTTAATTTATATTTTAATGCTTGTTCATGAATGAATGAGACTGGATATTTATGAACTTGTTAAATAATCATAAAGTTAGAGTATTAGACAAAAAATATGGCTGAAGGACTAAGCGGACCAGCAGGAATATAAATATCAAAAAATATTCATTTTACATAATGTAGTTTGAAGCTGCTTAAATTTGAGTCAAACATATAATTCCAAGTGGAAATAAACAAACAAAACAAAATCCACCTGTATGGCAGGAGGTAAGGCAGTTAAGCCTAGATTTTAATTTTGATGTCGTATATTAAAGGCCTAAGGAGGCTGGCCATAGCACCGACTCTTATGAACACATGTATAATAACTTGTTAGGTGGTAAATTTTAAACATTCTTTCTGTTTTATAATTTTTATACGGTGTTTGGAGAAGCCTTCCTTGTAATTGACAAGTTGTTACTTGTCGTGCATAAAGATAAGAGACTTTTAAAAAGAAGTGTGTGTATTTCTATTTAAGAAAACATTTCTGATATTAAAAACGTCTACTTAGATATATGCTAAGTTTGGCTTATGTAGAAGTATATAGAGATTTTTCCTTTCAAAGATGTAACCAATCTGTAAGAAGTTAACATTTAAGTAAATATTAGAGAGACAGACACAGACACAGATATACACAACTTTACATATATATTGTATAACGAGTTAAAAGAATGGTCGATACATACGTTCAAAGAGACAGATAGGATAAATCCAGTCTTTATATAGTTACGTTGTACGTCGATCATCATGTTCTTAATTATGACTTGATATATTAGTTATCTATTGTATTTGTTACATGTAAAATGAAGAAATATCACAGCCAAAAGATCCAAATCCTCTTCATAAACACGAAAGGAAAAATAAGGAAAAAATCGTTATAAAGCTGTTTGAAGCTTAGGTATATGTGTAAATAACATGATATTTACAATAATAAATCGTGACGTATAAGTCACTTTAGACTTGACTACTTAAATCAATCGACTTATGACGAGATATTCTAGAAAGGATTTTTATTTGCGCAGTGTGTAAAGAATGTGAGTACAAAGGAGATTAAAAACAAAATATGCGCACTATCTTACATCGAAGCCTTTTTGCCGCAACGCTAACGAAAATGTGGGCGTCACTGAGAACATGGAAGAGAAAAAATGAGAGGTGCTGAACTCAATAAAGTTATGAGATAATTTCATTGTAAGCATCTTGTTATTAAAATAATACCAGCTGTATCGTATTTGGATATTACGTATGTATATAAAATAATAGGTTTTTAAATTACGCGCCTTTTTGAAGTGGAACACACACAATAGATTACGGTTAGTATTCTTATTTTTCGTTCGAATCGATTCAATAGTTCATGTTGTAATAGAATTTGAAACTCTCCGAGTCATTTTGAATATGATTCAAAGCTTAGATATCGATTGGAAATCGTGAAACTCTTGGCTGTGCAATGTTTTCTGCAAGAATAGATTTAAAAATTTTAGTTAGAAAAAGGTTAGTAAGTATATTTAATATTTTTTTCAATGCAGTACAAATGCTCTTGCGTAAAGCAAGAATTTTCTTAACAAAAATTTGGAACGTTTGGGTTCATTTACATTATTTATCTTTATCTGTAATACATAGATAGATAAAAAAAGCATAAATGAAATGTAAGTTTTTAGCGAGTGTTATTTATTTTTATAAGATGTTTGAAGTTCATATAGTGCGATATTCTAAATTCGTAGTACAGTTGAAATTTTAGAGAAGTTCCTAGGTGGGATCACATATTTGGTACGTTTTCAAATTTGTTATTCCCGAAAATAAAATGTTTATAAAACGTTTTGCAGTCGTTTCGTAGCTAAGATTTGAACGTCCGGTGCTAATTGTAAAACGATTTGAAAGCACATCAGTTTACCATTGAAATAAACAGTACAGGATTTCAGCCACGGGAGGACGCGGCATCTGTAAGTCCGATGAGAGTATCCTATACGTACACACACATGCATACATAATCATAAGAAAGAAAAGGAAAGTTGAGAAGGAAAGAGTGATAGAACTAGTCAAGGAGAGACACTGAACCGTGGGAAAAGCTTGACGAGAGGAACAGAGAGAGAAAGATAATGAACAAGCAGCGCATGCCATAGCCACGGCCCCCAACTTGCTCTAAACTCGTGCAGCCTGTCGCTGTCGGTCGAATTTTAATGGCGGCTCATTCCGATTCCCTGTTTAGTGTTATTATCAGCTAACGAAACGGTATATATACTTTCTATGCGTTATCACAGGGAATAATAGTGAGTTCCATCGAGTTTGAACAGCAAGTGTCTTGGTGTTTCGTCAGACGAGGACTATATTAAAGACCTGTATCAAGGACATAGTGCATATCCGCGATGTGTCGTAGCGACTCTGGCGTACGAACATTCCATCATGTATAGTCGTGTTATACGCTTTGGCTTTCTCATGAGAAAGATCAATTCTACATGACAAATCGAACCTGTTTCATTTTATTTTAGTTCGGTGTACATAGCAATTTGTGTGAACCGTTGGTGAGAAAAAAGGGAAGTTAACACGAGCCGACTGATGATCGTATCAGATCGAGCGAATTGTAGCTGCGAGCTTTTTTCACAGTGAAGGTAAATTCCTTTTTCCCTTTCGGTAATTGCTCGAGGATATCTTCGTGTTTCATGAGTGTTGCCAGACGTGTTTACGAGTTTCTGGAATATTTCATTATCGAATATATTGAGTAATTCGGTACGTTTGTGTTTTGTTAGACAATTATCGACAAGAAGTAAGATATCCTTGCCTTTATGCGAAGACAGTGGTCTTAACTGTCAAGTGCAGCTATGCTGCTTGCACTAATGAAGGGCGGTGCGTGCAACGGTGTTACTCAAAAAGTGTGGAGCCATCTGCCCTAGCCTGACATCGTCGTCGAAATGTTTTAGTAATAGAAATCGGTTAGTGATGCATTATTTACATTTCGACTATTTCTCTTTTCGATTGTTGCAATTAATCGCTTGGTCGTGCATGTTCATATATTTAAATGAACAACATAAACCTGACAAAATGTTTGAGACATTTCAATAATGTATTTTGATGTATTCTTCGACGTTTCGCGTTTTATCTTTCACGATGTTTTTATTTTTCCGTTTTATATGAAAATTATCGAGTTCATGTGAATGAAATTTGAGGAAATTTTTTTTATTTCAGTTTAATTAGTCAATATAATAGTAATAATTTAAACATTTATGAATCTGTTCCTCAAATTTTTTTTTTTAAGAACAAGAAACTAACTACAATTGTGATTTTTGAAATGTTCCAGAGGTGCCAGGCAATGTGCATCATGTCAGTGCCTGGATACATGTGTAATTGGTAGTACTGTATCAATTAGACTTCTACCAGTGGGACGAATACCCTTATTATACTTTCTAAGCTTCCTACCCTAGACTTGTACATGCACAAACGCACACGCATAGCGTGTGCGCACGTGCTTTGTCAACTATTGTCTACACAACATGAGATTCTTGGGATTTGTATCATTTCCCACTTCACCTATCTTAGCTCCTAAACTGCTGCTATCACTTCATCGATTATCCTTTTCATCCATGTCTGTTGCTACCTGGTTCCTGGTGGTACTAGTAACTGCAGCAATAGATACACCTGCTAGTACTGTTCCACCTATGCAAGAAAACAGATCCTTACAGATTGTAACACAATTTCCAACGGGTGATAGTCAAAGATATGGATTTTACCCTCTAGATCCAAATACAACAAGAGAAGGTGTCCTTCGATTTAATCATCTTACTATAGATCCTGCAACAGGAAGATTGTATGCAGGTGCCATCAACAGACTTTTACAATTAGATTCTAATCTCAGGCTGGAGGAATATGTTTCTACAGGTAAGCTATTTATTCTTTTTATGAATTACATGTCCTATAAGAAAAAAAGATTGTTATTGTTATTCATTGTTGTTTCCAGGACCAAGATTGGATAATCCTCAGTGCCATGCAACAGGCTGTCCTTCCAGAGACATAACTACATCTTTAATGGATAATGTAAACAAATTATTAATTGCTGATCTTGAATCGCAAACACTAATCGCGTGTGGTTCCCTTCTTCAAGGTGCTTGTGAAAAGTACAAAATGTCAAACATATCTATCAAGCCGGAATTCATTCCCCATAGTGTAGCAGCAAATGATGAAAACTCTTCTACATATGCTTTTATCGGGCCCGAAAGATACAATGCTTGGGGACAAACGAATATACTCTATGTCGGTACTACATTCACTAACAGAGGAGATTATAGGCATGATGTGCCTGCCATTTCCAGTAGAAATCTGCACAATTTAGAATTCGCTGAGTATACTTTCAATAAACAGTCGATCGTATACATTGACGTAAAATACCGAGATCATTTCCTGGTTAAATATGTATATGGTTTCAATGCCAGCGATTACGCGTATTTCGTATTAGTACAAAAACAATCTCATCTTCCCGAGGAAGAAGAAAAAGGTTATATTTCTAGATTGGCTCGAAGTTGTATCAGCGATCCGAATTATGATAGTTATACAGAAGTGACTTTGCAATGTACGGTTAATTTGGGAGATGGAAAACCGCAATCTTACAATTTAGTGCAAGACGCGAAAGTTGCACCAGCTGGCAGTGATATAGCCATGCAATTAGGTATTTCTGTTGGTGATCCCATTTTTGTTTCTGTATTTTCGCCAAGTAGAGGAATCACGAACGAACCGCTGTCGCGGTCAGCACTTTGTGTGTACAGTTTGCAAGAAATTGAAACAAGATTCGATGAAAATATTCACATGTGTTTTAATGGTAGTACTAAATATAGAAACATGGGTTACGTTAGTGGTCCTATACAAGATGGTAAATGTCCTACAGCAGGAGTAAGTATAACATTTAAACGTTCTTTGTCACGTGAAAATATTGTACATTTCTGTTTTCTTTCTTTTAATTTGTTTCTATTTTTATCTTTCCATTCAGACAACAGGTAATATTTTAAACTTTTGTGAAGTGGGTTTGAAAATCTCCGGAATGTCGCCGATTGTAGGACAAGCAATCCTACATTTCCCCGACGAATTTATCACTTCTGTAACAATAGCTAATACAGAAAGTCACACTGTTGCGTTTTTGGGTACTAATGACGGCTCTCTTAAGAAAGTTTTACTTTCTGGAAATGAGGCATTCGTTTACGAAAGTATTGTAATTGATAAAGGAAATAGGTTGATGCCTGATACTTTAATCTCGCCCGATGGAGAACATATTTACGTTTTGTCGAGTTCTAAAATTTCCAAGGTGCAAGTTGAACATTGCAGTAGTTATACTAATTGTAGTAGTTGTCTCGACGCGAAAGATCCTTATTGCGGATGGTGTTCATTGGAAAAAAGGTAAATATATAATATCTTTTACATTTTTTTGTATGCTATACATAAATGTTTATTTCTTCATTTTTATAATATTAATGTTTACTTTTAGATGTACAGTTAGAGGAGATTGTCAAAAAGCGAGTCATAGTAGTCCACGATGGTTATCTTTAGGTACCGGACAGCAGTGCATCGATTTTGAGCAAGTTCTTCCAGATCGTATGCCTATCAATCAAATGACTACGGTTCACTTAACAATCAGAACTTTACCCGAATTGCCAGCAGGCGCAAATTATAAATGTGTTTTTGGTAACGCGGAGCCTATAGATGCACTAATGACCGGATTTGGATTGTCGTGTCCCACACCACCCGTGCTTGAAAGACCAAATATACCAGACGGAGCTGATCATGTTCTGGTACCTCTATCCGTGCGTTCTAGTGAAACAAACAAAGATTTTGTTTCACGGAATTTTGCATTTTTCGATTGCTCTAGGCATACTGTGTGCACAGAGTGTGTAAGATCCCAATGGGCCTGTAGTTGGTGTGTATACGATAATAAATGTACACATAACACAAGCTGTCAAGGTATCATTTCGGGAGAAAACGTAAGTACATTAAATAAAGCTCAAGTCAAGTTTAGTACTCATTGTTATTAAGAAGGTAACTTCATATTTACAGAATCAAGCAAATTTAGCGGCGCATGGAGCACAATACTGTCCAAGGTTTGTCCAACGTCAAGAACCATTGATGTTACCCAATAGTGTACCCAAAGAAATAGTGCTCGAGGTTGAGAATTTACCACATCCTCAAGTAGGACATAGTGGTTTTCAATGCATCGTCTCGATCGAAGGTGCCAATTTAAAAGTACAGGCTCGTGTCGATAGCAGTCGCTTTATAGTTTGTGATAAAACAGTTTACTCATACGAGGCGGTCACTGGTGAATACGAAGCAGAAGTAACGGTTGTTTGGAACATCAACCATCACGTGGATAAGACCACAATTATCCTTTACAAGTGTGAAGTGTTGGGTTCACATCGTGAGCACGCAGACTGTTCCCTTTGCGTGACTAGAGATGCACGTTTCGAATGTACTTGGTGCGGTAATAGTTGCGTGTACCGACATTCTTGCCTGCACTCGCCATTTACCGAATGTCCAAAGCCAAGGATTGACATGATTAAACCTCTCAGTGGACCGATAGAAGGTGGAACATTGGTTACTATCGAAGGTAGTAATTTGGGACTGAAAGAAAGCGACGTAGATGGAAAAATACATATTGGTGACACACCGTGTACCTTAGTTGACTATGAAGTGTCCGTGCGCATTGTTTGCCGTACAGGAAGGCACGAGGCAACAGACACTGCTTCTGTGGTGGTTGGTAATGATGCTGGTTATACTGAAAGCGCAGTATTATTTAATTATAAGGATATACGATTGTCTGGTGTTTATCCGTCGATTGGTCCACAAAGTGGTGGTACGCAACTTGCCATTACTGGAATGTATTTGAATATTGGTAGCACTATCTCAGCTTATCTGGACGAATTACCGTGCCATGTTAATGCCACGCAAGCGAGTAGCACTAGACTGACTTGTGTGACAAGTAAATCCGACCGAGTAAGAAGAATCGACAGACTGACACTTAGTATAGACGGTGCGAATCGCACTCTAGTTGGTAATCCCTATAACTACACTCACGATCCTACTATTATGGAGATTAAGCCACTGACAAGTTTCGCTTCCGGTGGTCGCATGATCACTGTTCACGGCACCAATCTAGATACCATCCAGAAACCTGAAATGGAGGTTTATTTCGATAACGAACTACTGCCAGTAAATAGGACTGTTTGTACAGTATTAAACCCGACACAGATGGAATGCCCGAGTCCTAGCATTGCCAAGCGTTTCATGACTCTTCGACGTAACGAGCGTGCTACTATCAATGGTCAAAATACACCTCCACAGTCATTAAAATTGAAGGAATCTCAACTATCCTTGAAAATAGCATTCATTATGGATAATGTAGAGAGTGTACGAGACTTGGAGAAACATTTTAAGAGTCTCAGAAATCGATTGCTTTACGTGGAAGATCCAAAATTTTTAGCCTTTCCACGTAACATTAAATTGTATAAAGGCGATACGCTAGTTATCGAGGGGGAAAATTTGATTTTTGCTAGCGACGAGTCGGACGTAAACGTTACTGTTGGAACAATGCCGTGTAACGTGACTTCACTTGCTCTGACTCAATTGGTTTGCATTCCTCCCGATCAACAACCAGCTGACACCGATGAGCTTGGAATTAAAACTGAAAATGGTCTGCCCTTAGTGGTAGTACGCGTGGGTCGTAGCCTGAGATTTCCTATTGGTTATTTGCGCTATGAAGTGATTAAATCTTATCCGATCCCACCGGAGGCAATAGCTGGAATAGCTGCTGGTACTTTTGGTCTTGTGTTTTTATTTGTTCTAGTATTGATAATATATAGAAGAAAGAGCACGCAAGCAGAGAGAGAATATAAAAGGATACAGATACAGATGGATACTCTGGAAAGCAATGTGAGGATGGAATGCAAGCAGGCATTTGCTGAACTACAAACCGATATGACTGACTTGACCGCTGACTTGGAATCATCCGGCATTCCGACTCTGGATCACAAGAACTATATTATGAAAGTATTTTTTCCTGGTGTCACGCATCATCCCATATTGAACGATCCTAGATCACGTAGTAATGTGTCTCGTACGAATTATGATGCTGCCATGATCCAGTTTGAACAACTGATCAATAATAAGTATTTCGTATTAACGTTTATCGAAACCTTAGAGGCTCAGAAAGACTTTAACATTAGGGATAAAGTGAACGTTGCATCGTTACTCATGGTCGTACTGATGGGTAAGATGGAATACGCGACTGATATACTCATGAATCTTTTATTAAGACTTATCGAGAAGGCGGTAAACACGAAGCATCCTCAGCTGATGCTTAGAAGGACCGAGTCCGTGGTAGAAAAGATGCTAACCAACTGGATGGCGCTTTGTATGTACAATTACCTTAAGGATTACGCAGGTTCCTCTTTATTTTTATTGTTCAAGGCAATAAAGCACCAGATAGAAAAGGGTCCTGTAGATGTGATTACCCACGACGCTAGATACTCGTTATCCGAAGAGAGACTGCTCCGTGAGCAGATCGAGCACAGCGTGGTCACTCTGCACGTCGTCCAAGATGATCTCGATGAGAAGATTCAGTGCAAGGTGTTAGATTGTGATACTATAAATCAAGTGAAGTCCAAGATCCTAGATGCTCTCTATAAAAATACTCCTTTCTCACTGAGGCCGTCCGTTCATGACGTAGATTTGGAATGGAGACACGGTAGAGGCGGGCATTTAACTCTTCAAGATGAAGATCTTACGTCAAAGTGTAGCGGCGAATGGAAAAAGATCAACACATTGGCGCACTACGGTGTGAAAGAATCAGCCGTGATGTCATTGATTCCTAGACAGAACGACGGTTTCTCCGTCGCTTGTAAACCACCATGTCATAACTGTAAACCATCACATTATCATCATCAGCAGCAGTCCATCCACCATCATGCACATCATCATCATCTACATCGTCATGCGAATCATTGTTCGTCCACGCATCTTCCATCCACGCCTAATCACAATCTAATTAGTCCTGTAATGTACAATCATCCTGTTAGCGGTTTATACTTCGAATCTCAACACTCGCCGCCGATCATAACGGCGAATGGTGACGTAGAAAGTGGAGGCAATCAACGATTGTATCATTTGGTAAGGCCTATAGAAGAAAGTCACTATCCACCAGGTATGGGTTTTACCAGTAGCAAGCATCATCATCCAGAACGGACACATAAAGCCATCCCTGAAATATTCCTAACGAGATTATTATCGACGAAAGGCACCGTTCAAAAGTTCGTCGATGATTTCTTGAATACGATACTAACAGCGAACGAAGCATTACCTAGTGCTGTAAAGTGGCTGTTTGATCTTTTGGACGATGCTGCGAAACAACACGGGATCGTTGATCCCGAGGTACCGCATGCATGGAAGTCGAACAGTTTGCCGCTTAGATTTTGGGTGAATTTTATTAAGAATCCAGACTTCATGTTCGATATTAATAAGTCCACAACGGTCGACTCAAGCCTTTCCGTAATAGCGCAAACGTTTATGGACTCTTGTTCAATGACGGAGCATAGGTTGGGAAAAGACTCACCGTCAAATAAGTTGCTCTTTGCTAAGGATATACCACACTACCGAGAAAAAGTGGGTCGTTTTTACACAGATGTACAAAGACTGCCACAAATCACTGATCAAGAAATGTCTAGTGCCATGCAACAACTAAGTGCGTCACATGCGAATGAGTTTGATGTGATTGCAGCACTGAAAGAACTTTACATCTATGTCAGCAAGTATTATGAACAAGTAAGTATCCTTAAAGCGGAATTTAATAATTAATATGTACAGAGTGGTCCGTTTATTTCGTTTATTTGATATTTTCCTCTAATTCTGTGCTGATAACAGAGTCATAATCAGGAATACTTATGTAAACCGTTCTGTATACTCTAGTTTGTTAAAAAATTTCCAATTCGTTGAGGTTGATAATAATTGCAATATTATATAGATTCTAGAGGCCTTGGAGACAGACGCGGGCTGTCGTAAATTACATCTAGCTCATAGGCTAGAGAATGTCGCCTGCACGCTCGAAGGAGAGGAAACCAGTGCCTGCTGACATAACCTCCTCATTGCCATCCCAGGACCTGTCAATCTCTCCAGAAACACTGACTAGTGCCTCCATTTCATGCATCAGATACACCTCGTTACATATGTACAAATCTACACACCATGTGAATAACAATGTCGTAAAAAAATACGTGCGATTTCGTTAAGGCTAGTCAGGCGATAGTTTTTTTCTCAGGATAAATCAATCCTGGCTGTAGTATTTACGTCTATATGTCATGGCCGTATCGAAATACGCTCGTACACACGTACAGATGTTAGTAAAGTGGTAACAAAAGGAAAATGGTGAACTCTAACCCTTAGAGGTATCCTGATCTGTTTTTATTAATATTTATAATAAATTATAAGAAAATGACGAAGGGAATCTCAATGCAATTGGTGGAATCTTCGTTAATAGGAGATATAGTTTGTCGTATGATCGAGAAATTATATTTCCAGTAACACATGTTTTAAAGATTTGTGCAGAATTCGTGCAAAAAATATTATTAGAAAAAGAAAAAAAGGATAAAAATTATTGATTTCAACTTCATTGTTGGCCGAATATCTATACGTGTATACGTAATGCATCTAATGAAGAAAGATAACATGTGTAAAGTTAAGTGAGAGAAAAAGCCATAGTGTCCACCAGACTGTCTGTACGAAGAGAGTACGGCAGCAAGTAGTCTGTGATCCGAGCACGAGTGGCTATGCCTACTATCTTCATTATGATATATATTATTAATATGTTATATATTATATATATACATAAAAAATATATAAAGCAAAGGTCACGCAACATACACCTCCACGGATTGTAGTGAGCTAGTTAGAGAGGGTCTATATATGTATTATAAGTTGAGGGTGAAGAACCCTTTGCAAGAGGGTTAAACATGACACAGAGAGAAAGAGAGAGAGCTTGAGCGTGAGCATGAGTGTGATCGTGAGCATAAGAGAGCAAGAAACGATGTTAAATTAAGACAGTTAAAATAATGTTAAATGAAAGAAAAAATGGAGAATTAAAAATTATGAGAGCAGCTCAGACTACTCTAGGCCTATTTACGTATATTTATTACGTAAAATGAAATGAAAGAAAAATTCTTTTTTATTAGAGTCTTTTGTTCATTTTTTGAATTTGTTTTTATTTACGATTACATTTATATAACTATGACTATATGTTATGATCCGTACGGCCACTATGTGGATCATATAATGATTTTACAACCATCACATAAGCTATATTACATCTATTATTGTTCTTATTAAGATTAAGTTGTATTATATATATGTGTATATATAATACAATTATTGATTAATTTTCCATTCAACAATAGTTATTATGGTATATTGTTAAGCATAAAAGAATCACATAATAGTTGCGATAATGAGAAAGATCTTTTATATTGTATACCGGCGAGGAAGTTTCTAGGTTCTTAACGAATGCAAATGAAAAAAAAAAAGAGAGAACACAATAGAAGGAAAAATTTTATACATGTCTGGTTGTATTTTCGCCGGTTATTAGATGTTCGAGAATTTTTCGCCAGTTGGTCAATAATATCGTGATTAAACGTATCGAGAAAAAAGTGAGAGTTTAACAAAAAACACAACGATAAACAGTATTTTTCTTGGGAATACATCACTAT